GAAGACCCATTTCTCCTTGCTATAGGATAACACTGAGCATAAATTCTGTCCCTGTCCTCACTTGAGGACCATTGCTTTGCATTTCATGCCGCTTTACCCCTTTCTATTTCCAGAGGACATTCACCTTTTCCTTTCCTCAGGGTTGATAGAGGGATTTAGGCAAAATCTCAAAGGATTTCAGTGCTTTGATAGAAACAACGGGAGACAAAAAGGAGATGGTTACAGTGGCGAGGGTTCATGAGAGTGAAGCTGGGAATCTGGCTGCAGATGTCTTCCAAGGGGAGATGTGTGAACGAAAGGGATGAACTTCTCTTTGGCACATACAAGGGACCAGAGTTAATTTGAACCATGCCTGATGAGATTAATTTAGGAGCAGGTTTTCTATAAACAGCTGGCAATATATATTTAATTTTCAGATTCTCTCGCCAGATCTTTGCTTACAAAAACACATGAAAGGAATTACTTTCACTTTGTGCCTCTGTTTTCCCTAAGGCAACAGCAGTAGTAAAATGAGTTAAAGGGGATAGCACTCATTTACAACTTCATTTATCCAAAATATCACCAGATATGGCTGAGGGCCTTTTGGTAAGTTATGTGTTGCTTTTTTTTTTCTCTCTTTTTTTGCAATCATAAAAATAATAATAATTGATTGATTGATTGAATAGATTGAAGGCTACAGAAACCTTTGGAGTGGATAATGTTCCTCTGATTTAGAGCGGAGTCGGAAAACTTTAAGAGAAGACAAAACTGGAATGATATATGAAGATTTCAGTTTAACTATTATCTTTAAGAAAAAGGACTGTGAGCTAAATTACAGATCTGAGAATCCATCCACCTAAACCATAAATGAAGGACTAAGTGCAGCCACATTTGAATATAAAGAAGAATATAGGGAATATGCCTGTATCATGTAGCATAAAGAGTCTGTTGCTATCAATGCTTTAGCTATTAAGTAGAATGACATGAAGCTATGTTTATGGGTCTGCTTGTTCATGTGAGAAAACGTATGGAAAAGCTTATCTACTCCTTATTATACCCAATTTTTAACTCGCACTAGAGAAACTGAGTTCATACAGTAACCAAAGCTTGTATAAGTCTATTTGTCCTCAGCCCATCCTTTGTGACTTTGTTAAAAGTAAGCATTTTAAAATTCAGAAATGTCAAAGCCAAAAAGGACTGTTTCAACAATTCAGTTTGAGCTAGGATTTTGGAAGGGTCTGAATAACTTTTAGATATTCTGATCACCACTGAAAAGAGCATTCTAAGATGCCATTCAGAAACACAACCTTAAAGCCTTCACATAATGGACACTCCATCATCTCCTTTAACAGGGATTTCCATCATTAACTATGTGTCAACGAGCTACTGTCACAGTGCCCCAGTCAAAACTGGGCAGAGGTATGCCTAGATACAGCAGCCGACTCACTACGCATTTCAACGTTGCCTAAACTTTTAAAGCCAGAGAAAATTAATAGATTAAGGACTAGACGAGCTTTCCAGTCAATGAACACATTTCCTTGCCCCTACCTGCGGAACTAGCTAGTGTTTCTGGTGATTTTTTGTAAATCATTCAAGCTTCAATTGGCTGGTTTATGATATCCCTGGCATGTTAAGACTGCAACGGTAGCTGCATTTTTTTCACAGTTGCCTGTTATTTAGCACATGCATAACAGAGTGTAATACAGTTGCCATGTGTCACTGCTGGGTGCCAGGTGCCTGCAAGTTCTTAAAAATCAAAATATTGATGCTTGCTGGCGAGGGATAAAACTGCGCATGTTTATATGTAAGGTTCAGAATAAAAATTCAGATTTACTGTGTATGTGTAGAGGGACTGTCATCTTCTGTCATCATCTGGGATCTGACCAGCAGTCATAGGAAACTTTCTCAGAACCTATAGCAGCAGAACTGATCAAAAAAGAGTCTATCTATGCCCAAGGCCCAGACTAACGAGAAATCCTCAACTGCATAAGTAAACTGCATTAGTTCGACTGTGTAAGTAAATTCCCAATCTGTCATTAATAGTCATTTATTTTTCATTAGTAAGATTCCTTTGTACTTGCCCTGTATATGAGGACATGGAAACAAACTGTAATACTAAATACTTGTATGAGGAAGTAACTATGATTTTACCGGGGAAAAAAAAAAATCTCTTATTTCAGGAGAAAGTGTAGTAGTTCACTTTTGTGAACTGTCAGTACTGTATGGAGAGGGAAAGCTGTTGAACCTCTCCTCCCATCTTCCCCATATGAAAATGAGATGCCAAGCATACTTCAAAAGGCTTATCTTCCTATACAGAGAGCAAAACTCAATTAATAAACATATACTAAGGGCTGGGAAAAAAAAAAAAAAAAGGGGGGAACAAAAAAACCCAGTCATTAAAGCTAGGGTATTTCCAGGCAGACTGTGGGGAGCTCCAGGGACCGCTCTGCCTGGACTGCTTTGACTGACGGCATCAGTTTGAGGAACCCCTTCGATGCAGTAAAGACTAAAGACTACAGTAAATTCCCTCTTATAATTAGGAGGGGAAATCTCTGCGGCCGTGTCTGCGGTTAGCGGGGGGCAGAGGCCGGGTCGCGCGCGCTGCAGCTGCTGCCGCGCACCTGCCCTATTAGAGGGACCTGCATTTTCAGCACTGCTTTTCCCTGGAGACCAATAATTAAGGGAGTTTAAAAAGACCCCAGTATAAAGGTACAGGCTGTCATTTAGTAGAAGTTTTGAACTATCACAAATGAAGAATATCTAATAACATAGCAGTGGGACATGTTGAAAGCACTATTAAATCAAGTGTGTTTTATAAGCCACTTTATTTGTCCTCTATTTCCCTTGGTCTCTCTAATGAGAGGCTGTTGAATTATTTTTATGGCCTTTATATTTCCCACTCCCAAGGTACTGTCAATGGCTTTAATGAATAAATGAGGGAAGAATACAAAGTTTCTTAAATGACTTGTAATCGTTATCTGTAATTGCAGTTAAAGCAGTTATATTAACTTTTAACACATTGTTTAATGGCAAGAACAGGTAGTTATAGCTATTCTAAAGATTATAACCTTTACAAAGAGAGATGCATCTTTTTGGTTTGCCTATCAAAACTGGACCCACGTCAAATATGACCTATATTTTTTTTATTTCTTATCTACACTTGTGGAGAAGTCTGGATGCTTAGAAAACAAAACAAAAAAAATCAAAAAAGCAAATATATATATATATATTCCAAAACTGTTTTCCAAAACAAAACATCTGATATTAGAACTATTTGGCTGTACTATTCCTATCCACGGCTTGGGCTGTGCTGTGTCCTGATGTGGGTCTTTTTCTTGTTCTTATGCCCTATGGTCCCAGCAGGCAGCTAATGCACAGGGGATGTACCCAGCACTGGGGCATGGCATTGAATTTACCATTCCCTCCTGACCACCAAGTGCAGACGCCCTGACATCAGAAGGAGCATAAGGTGGCAGGTGCATAAACTTGTTACGGCACAAATAGTCCTCTCAAATTTACAACAGCCAGAGGAAGGAGAATTGAATTTCCACATCTCTTCCCAGTAATAAAGTATTTCTATATATTGTGAATGTATTGGAATCAGCCTACTGCAGGGTATGGAAAATACTCCTCACTTCTCAAATAAGGATTAAAATATTAAAAGAGTATGCTTTCAGTGCTGTATTTCTTATTTTCTAGATTTCAACTCAGGCTGTAAAAAAATCTACTTAATTTAATGTCACAAAAAGAATAAGACTGGACTGCAAGGATAGTTAATTTGTTCATACTTATTACATCGGCCTTTTTTTTTTAAACTTGAAAATTAGATATTCTAATCCTCACCTTGTAATGTACTCCTGAAAATTATTTGTGAACATGAAGTAGGATTAATTTAAACATATTACTGCAATTTAATGAGATGATAGTACCTGCTATAGCCAACTATTTTATCCACCCCTTCACATATATAGCTCAGCCCATATCTCTCAATTTTCACCTAATCTACCTCTACTGTTCCCAGATGGCTTTTTATGAAGACAACTGTCCTCTATGGCCTAGGTAAAGACCAATGAACCTATTTTTATTATGACCTAGGAAATTATTCACGTGGAGCTCTCAAGAGGCAAATGGTTGGCATTATGAATATTTTACAGAATCTTCTCTGAAAATCAGGCCAATAGCATATACACATGGGGCCAAGCTCCACTTTCATTTATACCTTGGCAATCACAAGAATTTCCCATTTGGCTCCTCTACAGAGCTTACTGCATGTGCATATTTTCTCCCTCCTTCCCCTCTTCAGCTCTTGCCCATTCCCCAAGCTGTTCTTATACAGAAGGGAGTCATCAGCAAAGTGGAATGAATAATATTTGGGGTCCACTGGCTATTTATTTCCTGCTTTTTAAATGCATGCAGAGACTGAGATGCACACCTGAATGAGGGAAAATGCACAGAAAATTATGCCTAGCATCACCATGACTTTCCTAGGACATTAAAACTGATGCAGAAAATTAAAACCACTTTGAGCTCACTTTCTATGAACTCCACCCAGGAAAAAAAAAAAAAAAAAAGCCTAGGAAAACCTACTGACCCTAGGGAGATGCCACAGGGAAAAATCCCTCGCAAAAGGACTGGGACCTGAGTGCAAAAATATGTCAAAATTATAAGCTCCTCGAAATCAAGAGGAAATATGCAAGAGTTTTTCTTCTTATTCTGATGTCTCTCTTCCTTTCTCTTTTTTGAGAAGAGAAATTGATTTTCCATTCTCTTGGTGGGGGATAAATAATTTTTATTTCATTTACATAATTTCCATTTGTGGATTTAAACCCCTGGTTATAAATGTAAAGATTCATTATAAAGAATAAAGAGTGAGGTCAGATATGAGGTCAGATATTATGATCAGATAAGTGGCCTTACAGAAGAGGAAAAATATTTTAAGAATTAACACAATAAGGCATAATAAAATATTTAAAATGCTATAAAGGATTTGCTATAGGAATGCTATAAAGATTTGTACTTACCAGAATATCTTTTCCAGCCCACTTGCACTCATCCCTTCGGGAATGAGACACAGGCCAAATAATCTAAAGACACAGGACAAAAATCATGTTATGTTATTTCATCCTTCAATAATCACAAATTGCAGATCAAATGCTATGGAATGTCTTTACCCATTTTCTCTTTTTCTTCTTCTTTTCTTTATTTCCTTTTCTTCCATAAAACTTGACAACAAAGAAATGTCATGACAGAAAAAAAAATAAAGATGATGATAGGAATCACTGCAAAAACAATCTTGAAAAGCAGTCTGTATTATGAATCTCAGCAATGAATCCTGAATACTAATGATAAGAGGGTTGACTCTCCATTATGCGGAGAAAGAAGAGTTCTTCCACTGTTTTAAACCTGATATAAAAAAAGGATACTGAAAACAAAAAAAAATACAGATTTTTGCTAACAATAAATCCGATATGTGTGAAATGCAGTCTCACATTAGGCTTATGGCATCATAAATGAGGTGTTTGCCTTTTCAGTGCATCTACTAGTTCACTCTTTTATGAGTCTTCATTAAATAACAACAGCAGAAACTGTGGTATTTGAAAAGTATCATGCTGTCAAAATAGGAATGTTGTTGCTATTCCTATTGATTAGCTTAACATAAGTAATCTTAAATCTGAGTTTATTATGGTGTTTGCTTAGTAGAAAATGTATCTCACTTCATACAGAGAAAAGCCAGAGACCCTCACAGTCAATTATTCATGTTTTTTGAAAAGCTTTTAGGAATTACATATAGAATAAAACATCATCTTCACATAAAATGCCAGGCTATTCATTTGGGAGCCTCAGATAATGCAATATGAATGGCCATAAGTCTGGATTAGAACCTTGGTGTTCAATACAGTTTCTTAAAGAAAGTAAATAGGAAAGTATTAAACAAGGGAAAGAAAAAAGATAGAGATGGCTGAAGAGAATGGAGGAAAGGTTACGTATGGCTTTTAAAATAAAATTTGTAATAGCATCTTTAAATACAGAATTATCTTACAGTGTTTTGAAATCCAAACAAAAATCGAACCTCTTAAGTCTGTAAAATAGGGCTGAAAATTTCATGAGCACTTTCTCTCTCAAAGGAGTCCTGCTACTTCCTGTTTCTATTCTTGGCTTAAAATGTGCAGACACATGTGAAAATTAAAATTTACTAGGTTGAAAAACATTAACCAAACTTCTCTGATCTCCCAAAAGAACCAGTTCAAGTTCAGTTCAAGTTTTGGGCAAAGATTTCTATATTTTTCAAAACAGTATTTTCATTTGTAAAATGAATGGCTAAATGTTCTCTTTTTTATGGTCACCATGCAATATTCTTCTCTAATTTGATTTAAAAGCCTAGAGCTAAAGGGCTAAATTGCACCATTTTAATGGCAAATTATCTTTCTGAGTGTTGCTCCTGTGGAATAATTTGTTGCTTTCACCAATCAGATAGAAACCTTAATTCTTTTTAATATAGTTACAGCAACAGCTGGTGAAGTTTCAGTTCAAGTGCAGCACCAGCAACATTATGTTTTTGATCTAACTTTCTTCAGTGACTCTCGTTTCTTTATTAAAGCCAAACTACTTTTTAACTACTATTTTTTTAATCCTTATGTTTAATTATAAGACTTAGAGCTTATTCTTTAAGTCAGTTTTGAACCTTCCATTCCATGCCACCAACAGCAATTCTTTATTTATTATATTAGTATTTGCGTATAATTCCAGGGAGTGTTTTAATGGTATATGAATCCTGAAATCTGTAAGATACAATCCCTCCCATTCTGCAGAACTGGTTTCTACAATGGAAACACCTTCTTTCTTTTAATTATTCCAGATGTTTTTCACATTAAACTATGAATCCCTTGGAGAATTCAAATAAATAGCTAGTTTCCTTTATAGCCCCTCAAAAGAGAATAGAAAATACTCAGTTTTCCTTTTATCCTTTTTCCTTAGAGAATACAAATGAATAGCCTGTCTTCCCCATGAACAGAAAACACAAGGTATTTATTGCTATCATCTTAGGAAGCTAATAGTCAAACGGGCAAAAGGTCAGGAACACCAAGAAAAAAAGTCCCAGAGTATTGAAGCAATATATCACCTGTAAGGGGGTAGTCTCTAGATTTTAAAAGAGACCATCAAAACATTAAATATAGCAAATCAAACCTCCATCTCACTGTTTACCTTCTAAGCATTTTGTCTCATTAAAATAAATGAAAAGCTAAAATGATTTATTATTATTTATTTATTGGTCTCAAACAAAGCATACTCCAGATCATCACCAAGCTGTTTGTCAGCTTTTAATTTCTCTTCAACTTTTACAATAAAATTATACTTCTCATCAAGAACAGAAAGTTTTTATGCATGTGTTGTTCTTTAATCAATTTCTAATCTGTTATGGCTCACCAGCAGCAGAAATGCAATGTCTTAAAGTGCTGTGTTAAAAAAGCAGATATCAACACTCAGATTCTCAAAGAGATGTGTTTTTTACCTGCAACAAATACAAGGTAATATGGCCTTTTTGTACAAGCTGCCATAATTGTCATCTTTATTTTATTTAGCTGCAAACATGAAAGCATGCCTTATTTGTGAAACAGCTGGATTATTCACTTATCATTGCTACAGTTACTGTATTATTTCTCATTTTATAACCTCATTATAAATTTCATTTTATAGAGTTTTGTTTATTTATTTAGCCAAATAGTATTCCTGATAAGAGAACATTTACTACATGATTCAAACAGTGCCTGACATAGTCTGGGTAACAACAGTTGTTGAATGTTAAAAGCACATAAAACACTTTTTTAAGCACTTAAAACATGATTCAAGGTACCTTTTGATATTCTTTGATGTTAACCAGGTTGAAAGAAAATATGTGATCCTTTGCTCCGACGTACAGTCGACTCCGCTCTTCATCCAAGAGGAAAGTGTGGTAACTGGAGCTATTAGCTAGTCCATTAAAATTGATTATATTGTTGGATTCCAACATTTCTGTAAGACAAAGGCAATACTTTCTATGTTAATAAAATTAAGTCATATACAGACTAGTATCCTGACTTTGTATGGATTTCATTTTAACAAGTGATATTTATGGACTGAAAACCAATGAGAGCTTTTTGTACCTGGGCCAGTGAATGTTATCATTTTAAGTATCCAAACCCAAACTGCTAGTGAGATTCAGCTCAATACAACAGAAGGTCAAAACATCAATAAAATCAATGAGAATCTTCTGTGAAGGTTTTAGATGGCAAATTCTATCCATGTAACTCATCAAGTACTGGACAAAGTTCAGTTTTGTTCTGTCAATGAGATTTTCAGGCATCAACTTGAGGATGACCAGCGGATATAACCACATCTAAGCGTAAAATCTCCTATTTCCAGCATAAAAAAACTATTTCATACAGACCTATAAATTATGAGAAAGGAGGAAAAAAAAAAGTCCAGTTGGTGAGATAAAAACACATGTACAGCTCATCCTCATATGTATTACCCACATGGAGGAAATCCTCTGTAACAACTGGCCTGGATGCCAGCCTCAACTCTGTGAGGCACCAGAGCAAGCAAAGTGCTTCAGGTGCAGGAGCATCTCACTGATGCTACCGCATTCATATTCCAAGCAGAATACGGGAGGAAGATGAGGAAGGGAGTGAACATATTGGCAGCCATGGAGAAGACTACTAGAAGGCATGGTCAGACTTTCCAACAGCTCATGAGTATGGTACCTGGCCAGCCATGCAAGCCAAGGAGTTGTATTTTTCCCTTCAAAAAAGCTTCAAAATGTTCAGAATTTGCCTAATGATACTGCTTATGGTTTTGGTACTAAGATTAAGCTCTTCCATTTTCAACCGTTGCTTCAACTACTGTCATTGTGCTGATAAAAATCAAGGTGAACCTCTTTTTTTAATAAACATAACTTGAATCTGCTATATTTTCCTTTTTTTGCACCCTTTTTCCATCTTTTCCTTTAACTGGAACACGGAAGATGTCAGATGGAGTTCCTTTGGATCTACATACCAGCAGCAACATCCAACACTTACAATTGTCGAGAATTTCATTAGCAATGACTTAACAGGCACACAGGTACTAAGCCTATATTTTATATTCATATATACCAGGTGAATTTTGAAGAAGATTCCTGGCTGATATGGCATAATGGATAGGCAACACATTCAAGGAAGATAAGATAACACTTAGAAGATGTGTAACATTCAGCCTAGATTTGTATTCTTTGCACTTAATTGGACAAACTTTCAATCACATCAAAAAGAGCTTCCTTACCTAGGGGTGGAACAAAGTGCCAGTGAATGATCTATAGTTCCCTATTCCAGGCTTTTTCTGATTGAACGTGACTATATACATTTATCCTGCAGCATGCTTTTTAAAACTCGTGCTACTTGTACTCAGGACTTAAGTTTTCTCCCTCTCTCTCTCTCTCTTTTAAGGTAACAAGAAGAAATCAAATCACTCCAAGCAGTCTTGTCAAAATAATTCTTCTGGATTCCTGCCAAGTTTTAGAATTTGACTGTATTGTCCTCCAGTTCACTTATTTGCATTTTGTTAGAGACTTTACTAATTCTCTTTACATTGTAATGACTGATTCAGATGTTGAATGTCTCTCTGCTGAATAGACAGTGATGCAGATGATTGATTGCTTAACTCATCTTAGATCTCTCCTGGCTAGAAATGCTTTGCTGTCATCCGTATCTGTTAATTTTTCTTATAATATAGCTGTCAAAAAGCCTCATAATTTGTTCTTCTCCGTCTTAGTCTGAACTCTCCTAGGTGTGATTCTGCCCTTTGCGACTGTGGAATAAAGAGAAGAAGCTGCTGAAATCAGTTAGCTATGAAAATGTGAAACCAGTATAAATGAAAAGATGATCAGTCAGACACAAAGCTGTTTGGTTTAAAATAAAATGAGTTTTTTTTTTTTTTTTTCTGTTCTGAATATTCACATCTACAGATGGTGTTTGATGTTTTCCTTTGTTTTCTAACATTCATGAAAAATGCCAGATAATAACATTGGATCCTAACATTTATTATGGCCAAGAGTAAATTACATCACCATCTTCACTATTCATATATCTTCACAGCGTGACTTAAAAGGACCAGGTGTAGCTGTGCAGAGAAGTGGGATTTTTTTTTTTTTTTGTGACTTGTTAGAATATGCAATGGCATTAAAGGAAAGATAACATTTTTTTCTCTTTTTCCTTCTTTTCCTTTTCCCTCTTTTCCTTTTTCCCTTTTTCTTTTTTGTGAAGTTGAAATTGAAAACCATTTGAATTAGCTCCCAGCTGCCTTCTGTAAGATTAGAACATTACTCCTGGGTTTTAATCTACAACCTGTTGTCCTACTCAATTCACTTTTGTAGGAGATGGCCAGATTTTCAGTTCTATTTCAAAAAAAAAAAAAAAAGTCTTAGAATATTATTGTCATTATATTTTAAATCCTCTTGTGAAATCAGTTTTCTACTGAACGAGGACCTAGTCTGAGAATATAGGTTGAGGGCAGAAGGGCAGAAACGACCTTTAAGTGCTCATGATTCTCTTTTGCTACAGATTTAATTAGTATTGAGTTACACTGCAACTAAGAGTGAAAACCTAAATAATCTTTGCAGTTCCACTGCTTTTCATTCTGATTTTCATTTATTTCTCCAGTAACAAATAGCGCTTTCTATGACATTCTGCATAGGGTTGCTGAAGAACAGTGTAATGGCATTTGCACAGTCAATACAAATTACGTATTCTACTTCCTCAAATTAATTAGTTTCCAAGTGTTTACCATCCAATGCTCTTTCGGTACCCAGCCAGAGGCTATTGCTGAGAAAATGACAACAAGAGCGGTGACAGGACTCATTCCCTGAAGGGCACCAACATCCATCAACTCTGTGAACGGTCCATCAGTCATGCTGCTGAGGTATATGGCGGATCAGTGCTTGTTCATTTCTCCATGCTTCATCCAGTTATTTCTATTGTAAAGTTGGGAACTTTACTCCTCCAACAGTTACAGTGAAAAAACATTTCTTCAATAATTGCTCAGAGGGTGTTTTCTTACTTCCTTTTGATGTATCTTCAGCCATATGCATTCCTGTTGTTTCTAACATTTCCCCGTAAAGCTAACCACTCCACATTATGACTGTAATATTGTCTATAAAATGCCAGAAGAGGTAAACTTAGAGTGGGTGGTGATACTCTGAAAGTAATAAAGACTTCATTGTTTTTGTTATTGGTGCTTGCTTCCCACATTTATTGAGAGTGATGCAGGTGACCAAAAGCAACAGTCTGAAATGCACTACATGTCCAAAAACACTATGTTATCCTGATTTTTTACTTGGAATAGTCACTGAAGCCATGTGGAGTTTCAGTTTCTCAAGATCTGAGGTACAATTTCTCTTCATTAACCGCTTCACCTCAAATGCATTTAGGAAAATAATTTGTAGTCCTTCTGACTTGCTTACTCCATTTTACTCATCTTTTTCTGCCAATGTCCAAGATTTCTGGTATTTGCACTTCTTGTGTATGCCTTCCCCTGGATTCTGCATGACCTTTCTTCTATTAATTCCAGGGTTTTGTTGATCCAGTCTATGATCCAGACCTGTGCCCGAACACTCACTTGCTTCAGAGCAAGCTGGCAAATGTACAGAAGAAAATCAGCCCCTAACTCTTGTCTCAATTCTAATGCATGATTATTTAATTTGCTAATGGAATTTCAGTTTAATAATATGTATACACACTGAGGGTCAAATTCCCACAGTGAAGTCAATGGAAATATGCACGCACAAGGAATGTAAGTTTGGTTTATTTTTATGACACGTTTTTCATTAAAGATAAGCCAGAAAACCACAGCAATAGCTAAGATGAATACATTCAGACAAATCTTGAGTTTGCTATATCCATGGCTGGTATTTCACTGTAGAATTTGTGTTATGTCCCTGTTGTTTCAGTAGTTTTGTCAAGAAGAGAACATAACAAAACAAAACCATCTGAGTTTGTACCTACTTCAATATTGAGTAAATTATCTTTTTAGTGAGCAGAGCTTTGTGTTACAAGTGAGCAAACTTCTGAGTTTTAGCCTCTGTTCCCATTGCAGTTTTCACAATAACACATCAGTCAAGATATTTGTATTGATAAGGATCAAAGGCCCATAACAATTTCCACAGAAATCAGAGGGAAAGACCCCCAGTTTCTTCACCAGGATTTAAATCTGGCCCTGTCATAATACTAGTGACTCTGCAGGGCGACTAGATAATACATTCAGTTCTGCTTGTCATAACATGCTCATGAATCAACAAGTGGGTTGATGGTTGCACAAAATTCCCGACCTTCATTCCTTTGCCTGCAGTGATAAGATCTCACAGTATATCTCCAGTAGATAAAAGATGAGTCAAGGAGTATTATGCCATCAAACAGGGATTTTGCTGAACTGTGAGCAATGCCTCCCACAATGTCATGCTAGAACATTTCCTTCTTCTCTCGCCAGGCTTTTACTTTAGCTCCAGAGTATCAGGTGGCCTCGTGTTTGCACATGCATATGCTGCTTACGCAGATGCACACTGTGCCTCTTCTGTATATTAGCATATATATCTTTCTAAATAAACGTAGATATATATTAGTCATTACTCTCTGTGTGATTATTTGATTAATTCCAAGACATTAAGACTACTGTGCAGGGAAAGGAGTGGATATTCTAACTTCTGACCTCTTCTACCCATTTTACAGTTCAGCATGTAGGCAGCGAAGAGTCTGCGTGGGACCCCTCTGCTTTGCCCTTATCAAACAATGCAGAAAAGGGCAGAAAAAGGCGGGAATTGGCAGCATGTCAAAAGAACTTCCTGAAAGACATTAACCAGATGAGGGGTTTGGGCAAAACCAGGGATGCAGAAGGGAAAATGTGTCAGACTTGCGAGTTAATTCCCACATCTGAACAAGTCAACTAGACAAGTAGACAAAGTAGACAAGCTGTTATGCACACAGCGGGATATTTCCTCCTTTTAG